TCAATACCTGGTTCCGCCAAAAAAAAAAAAAAAAAAAAAAAAAGGAAGTGAAGTCCAAACCCTTCCTCAAATCTCCACTGCAGCGGACATACTCTGGTTTTCTTCTTTGTGTAGATCCAAGAGCTAGGAATAGATTCCAGATGGGTCCACATGGGACAGAAACTGACTGTGGCCTGCAGTTAAATTACTTGGCCCTTTCCGGAGCTTGTCATGGCTCTGGGTCTGCACTGAACAGGTGCCACCAGGCCCTGCAGAGTCAGGGATTGGAAGCTGATTTTCCTGGCCTCTGTGCCCACCCTCTTCCGGCCTCCTCCCATAGCCCCTACCTTCTAGTCTCTTTCTCAAGGGGGCGCTAGTTACCTCCCACTGCCCCTGTGGGTTCCCATGCTCACTCTCCTTCCTGACTTACCTGTTAGTGATGAGGCCATGCCCCTTCCTGGTTCACTTGTTAATGAATGGGGGCCCCTGGCTTCCCATTCGGGTGTTAAGTGCTTCTCCAGAGACACCACTGAACTTGGGGTGTTCTCTCTGACCTGTAGGAGTTGAGCAGTGCAGCAATGGTAGGGCCTCCCCCTTTTGTGAATACTGAGATCTTTGCTGGGTGTCTCTATGGTAGGGACCTAACAGCAGCAGCTGTACATCAGGGCCGGGTTGTTCTCTGTGGGGAGTCCTGGGTACTGTGGGTGCAGAGCAGCATCCCTGGCTTCTACCCGCTCTGCGCCACTGTGCCCCCTCCCCAGTTGCAACAGCAGCCACAGCTGTCTTCACACACTGCTTCCAGGCCCTGGGAACAGTTGAGGGCAGAATTGTGCCTGCTCTGGAGAGTCCCTGGGCCTGATGCTCCTCCAGTCACGGTGCCCTGCGCGTGGACTGGACTCAACGTCGTCAGCAGCGTCCTTTGGCTTCTGTGTGCAGCCTGTGCAGGGGACGTCCTGGACGCGGCGTCCCCATGCTCTCCTGTCGTGAACCACCTGAGGTGGGATCTGAGTGCGCGGGAAATCGAGGCACTCGCCAAGGAGCTCATCGAGCAGACGAAGCATGTGTACGACCAGGTGGGCGCACAGGAGTTCGAGGACGTGTCCTACGAGAGGACGCTCAAGGCTCTGGCAGACGTGGAGGTGACCTACACGGGTGAGTGCTGGCTGCAGGAAGGTTTTGGGGACATTAGGAGAGGCTGGTTTGCTCACCCCAGCCATCCAGAGTGCTCCCACATGGTCATTTGAGAGGGGGCCAGCTTGAATCTCAAGTCACTTCCCCCTCCCAGAGGAGATGTTTTCTGTCTGAACCACTAAATGTGGCTTTTTGTTTTGTTTGGTGTTGGTTTGAATTTTCTTTGGGATAAGCTCTCACCCTGTTGCCCAGGCTGGGCTCCAACTCCAGGGCCCAAGCTATCCTCCTGCCTCAGCCTCCCAAGTAGCTGGATGTCGGGGCTGTACCACTATGCCTGGCTTTTCAGTTGTCTGTAGTTGGTATAACAATGCCTGAGGCTGGGTCATTCATTAAGAAAAGAGGTTCCCCCCCCCCAAAAAAAAAAAGAAAGAAAAAGGGGTCCCTTTTGCCTTACAGCCCTTGGGGCTGGGGCGACTACTGTGAAGGCTGTATGTGGTGAGGGGCACAGGCAGGGACAGGCACAAGTGGTGGCCTTTTTCATAATGGGTGCTCTTAAGGAAGCTGAGAAAGCCAATACCCATTTTTACAACCTGGTCACCTTTCAGAGCCCCTCCTGGCACCCCTCTGGCAGCAGGCAAAACTGCTTTCAAGCCCCATTTACCACCTTTTGGTTACTCCCGGCTGCCTCCTCAGCCTCCACACTGCAGTCATGTCACAGCCTATCCCTGGGATTCCCATCCTGGCCGGAGGGGCGGTGAGGCTATCCCTTCTACTTAGGTCCCTCTACCACCCTTGTGAGGGCCAGGGTGCTGGGTCACAGGGACAAGGGCACTGTGCCCCAAACCATGAGGAGCTTGACAGCACATACAGTTGCACAGAAGTGGGGTGCTGGTGGCAGCACACCCCACTCCTCGAGGTGCCAGCAGACAGTTGGTTTCTGAGAACACTGGGCTCCTGACTGAACTGAGAGGTTAGTGGGAGTCACAGGTAGGAATGTGTGGTCCCCAAGACTCACTGTAGTGTTTCTTGGGGCCCAGGTGGCTCTGCCTTCCCTGCACCTTTCTGACTGGCCAGCAGTCCCTGTCTTCTGCCACCTTTTCCCGTCTCTGTGCTAACCTGCAGTCCTGAGGGCCTCCTCCCCATGGGGACCAGAGCCCTCCGCACACTGTGCCTGGTGGACCTGGGTGCTTTGCTGCAATTGAGGAGGAGCCTACCTCCTCCCTCCCTGTTCTCTTGGTGCGGCCTGTGCTGCTATTTGTCACACGGAGCGTGTTCAGTCAGTAGTACAACTGTATGAATTTGCATGTCAACCTTGCGCAGGGACCATGCTAACTTTCTCTGTATCATTCCAGTTTTTTAGTATATGTGCCACCTAAGTGAGCACTGTGGTTTTTTTTTAAAGACAAGATCTTGCTGTGCCGCCTCAAAGTCCTAGGCTCAAGCAACCCTCCTGTCAGCCTCCTGCATAGCTGGGAGTGGAGATGAATGCTAGCGTGCCTATTTCCTTTTAATTGTGCTATTAAAATATAATTTGCATACTACGTAATTCACTCATTTTAGACCTACTTTTTTTGCATATTCACAAAGTTCAATATACATATATATATACACAATGTTTGTGCACGTATATATGTTATATAAAACGTGTACATGATATATATGTTTTGTTTTGTTCTCGGGTTTTTTGAGACAGGCTAGTCTCAAACTTGCCATGGTCTTCCTGCCTCAATTTCTCAAGTGCTAGGATCACAGGAGTTGCCACCAAGCCCAGCTGTGCGTTCATTTTAGAAAATTTTCATTCTCTCAGAAATCCCACATCTTGTAGCATCACTATCAATCCCCATCCCCTCTCAGCCCCAGCACCTCAAGTCTACTTCTGGTCTCTGGAGTTGCCTGTACTATTTCCTGTCCATGAAGCTCACATTTTGTATCCTTCTGGGTCTGGCATCTCAGTGAGCACAGTGTCCTCAAGATCTGTCCACGCTGACACAAGTGTCATAGCCTCTCCTTTCCTGGCTGGTGTCCCTACGTGGGGACAGGCCTTGTCGTGTGTGTCCTTCTGACTATGGACGCTGACTGTCCAGTGCACACAGGTCTTGCGCGGCATGCTGTCTCACCCCACCTGACTGCACCTACGACCAAGGCCCTGGGTCTGAGGAGCTCTTGTGGTTTAGGCCTTTGCAGCCGCTCAGCCTCTAACAGGAAGTCACAGTGTGGTCTATGCCTCTGACCCACAACTGTCAGCGGCTACAGCTTTTTGGAGAATTGAACTCGCCTTTTGGGCTTGTCCTGCTAGCTCCATCGTGGTCCTCCTTGTTTTGCCTGTCATGAGTCGTGTCCCTCTGATTTGGGCTGTGACATCCGCAAGGCCACTATGTGTCCTTGGTCTTCTTTTGCAGTACAGAGGAACATTCTTGACTTCCCCCAGCATGTGTCTCCGTCCAAGGCTATCCGGGTAGCCAGCACCGAGGCTGACAAGAAGCTGTCTGAGTTTGACGTGGAGATGAGCATGCGCCAGGACGTGTACCAGAGAATTGTCTGGCTGCAGGTGAGGGGATGGGGACCCAGCATCAGGCTTGGCATGGGCTGCACAGCCAGGGGCTGACAGGGCAGGTGGTGACGGGCTCTGGAGCAGCCTCAGGCGGAAACCTCTTCATGACTGGAGAGCTCTGTCTCCTTGGTTTTCAAAAGCAGCACTGCCAGGCATGGTGGTGCATGCCTGTAAGCCTAGCTACTTGGGGAGACTAAGACAGGAGGATCTCTAGTTCAAGGCCAGCCTGGGCAACTTGACAGGATCCTGTTTCAGAATAAAATTCAAAGGGGTGAGGTACAGCTCAGTGGTAGTGTCCGGGGCTCAGCCCAGTGTTGTCCCTCAAAAAAAGTACACTTCATTTTTTGTTATTTTATGACAGCCTTAAAAAACAAAAATCAGCAGAAAACAAAACATCCAGCAGGAGGGGGCCTATAGCCTTTTATACAGGCACTGCTCCCTGTCCAGGCCACCGGGTCTTACTCAGGAACAGCTGCCCACACCTGTATCACTGCAGGGGCCTGAGGCCTCCCCCGTGTCAAGAAGACCATTGTAAGGGGCTGAGGACATAGCTCAGCAGCACAGCACCTGCCTGGCAAGTGCGAGGTCCTGAGCTTGATTCCAAGTACCAAAAAAAAAAAGACCATTGAGTGTTTTGGTACATCAGAGGTTGTTTTACGTTATGTGGGTGCCAAAAGAAACCCAAGAAGACCCGATGAATATAGCTACATCACTGATAGAGATTTGTCCTCTCGGAGTGAGCCCTGAGCCCCGGAGACTGCTCACGGTTATTGAGGGCCACAAACAAGGCATATGCTTAAGGAATTTGGTGCAAACAAACGGCCACCTATATTGCCTCTGGCATTCACCAACTGATTTACATATCACTGGTTGGTAACTTCCCAGGTAAAGGAACAAAGGACAGGGCCCTGCCTCCTGGAATCTGCTACTACCTTGTCTCCAGCTTGCCACAGTAACAAAAAACCAGTTTCCTCAGGCTCTGTTATTTGTTCCTTGCTCTCTGGGCAAGCAGTTTGGTGGTTGTTTTTTTTTTTTT